AAAAAAAAAAAAAGAAAAAAGAAAATGAAGGGTAGGGGAGAAGGGCAAGGGGGAAGGAGAGGAGGTGGCATTTTATTCTAACCCTTCCTAACTCACAGTGACTCATCAATTTGCATCCTCAACCTGAAGATCCTAAAAAAAATGGGCTCATTTTTGGGGTTGCACCAAAGAATAAAGAAATGACCCCAACATCCCTATCTGGTATATTCTAACCTCAGTGGTTGGGGCTTTTTCTTAGGGAAGGAAGGGGCTGGCAGTCTCTGTTAATAGTGACTTTCCTTGGGCTCCCATTTTTAGGGGACTATCCAAAAAGGAGTCAAGTACTCAAATCTTCCACAATGTGTTACTGGTGCAGATTAGATGGGGATGACATCAGTTCTGACTCATGACTAAATATTAGACATTTGATTGAATTTCCTCTAGAATAGAAATCTGATTGTAACAAGCCCTTCCAATTTTCCCCCACCTCAACTGTCAATTACCTCTCACTGGCTAGAATATGAAGTTCAACGTTCTTAGGTCTTAAGGAAATTAGAAGAAGAGGAAGCAGAGGAGGAGAAGTTTGTTTAAAATGTTTGGTAGGGTTCTCTTTGCTTAAGTAGGTTACTCAGGTCTGGCTTTGAAATTCTCTTTATATTTTCTTCCTCTATTTCCCTTGTTTTTTTCATCCCTCTTTTCTTTCCCCTTGTCCCCACTCTGTATCCTAAAACACAGATGTCTCTGCCTCTTATCTCTCTCAGCTGCTCTTCCTCCAACTGACAATGAAAAACCAGAATGAGTTTTTGCCTCTCATTTGTGTTCCCCTGAGGGTGACTCACCTCCTGTGTGCCACACACTGTTGGCTGGGAATGCACAGAACAATGGTGGGAGAGAGAAGTGAACATTGTTTTCTCTGTCACATATTCCTTTATTCATTCATTCCAGCAATATTTATTGTGTGTGCACTATCACCTGGGCAAAGTGCTGGGAATACAGTTGTATAGAAGACAGACAAACCTAATTTTAAAGCTGCAGGTGGAAGAACCCATGGGGGTCTTTTGTGCAAGGTGATAGGAGTTCAGATGAGAGTCTCCCAGGGAGCTGTGGGAGCACAGAGGATCATCCCCAAATCCAGAAAAGGAAATAATTAAAATACTGTGAATTCATTTTGTTTTTTCCTTATAGATATAACAAACTCTTTTTTTCTTCTGTCCTCATACCACTCTCAGTGCTTCTGTGGCCAGAAGTGTGTATTTTTCCCCACATCAACCAATTCTCTGACAGTAGCTGTGGGTCCCATAATTTAATTCAGTCCTGACACTAACCAGTGCTAGGGCAGACCCTACAGGTCAAGGGCTAAACCCCACACAACTGTTCCCCACTTTGGGTGCCAATTGCAAGTAATAAGCCTTCAGGTTACTAACAATTTCTGTTTAACTTGGCTACAATGTTGAGGTTCCCATATCTGCTTCATGGGTTTAATAATTTGCTAGGGTGGCTCACAGAACCTAGGAAAACAGATTACAAAATATTGCCAATTTACTACAAAGTGTATTTTAAAGGATATGAATGAAAAACTAGATGAATAGATAGTGGGCCAGGTTCAGAGTGCACCAAGCACAAGTGCTTCTATCTCAGTGGAGTTGGCGTGCTCTATTTCCCTGGCACATGATGTGTTCACCAACCCAGAAGCTGTCTGTACCCCTTACTTTGGGGATTTTTGATGCTTTATCATGTAGGTATGATCCATTTGTAACTTCATTTCCAGTCCTTCTCCCTCTCTGGGGGCTAGATATGCCAAGCTTCTAATCATGGCTTTGTCTCATTCTGTGAGGCCAGCTTTACCCTGATACCAAAGCCAGAAAAAGACACTACAAGAAGAGAAAGCTACAGGTCAATATCCCTTATGAACATTGATGCAAAAATTCTCAATGCAATACCAGCAAACCAGAAAGTTATTAAAAGAATTTTACACCATGAGCAAGGGTATTTATTTCTGGAATGCAAGGATGGTTTAACACACTTGCATTGGATCAAGAGAATGAAGAAGAAAAGCTACATAAACACCTCAATTGATATCGAAAAAGCATTTAACAAAAATCAACACATTTTCATTACAAAAACACTCCAGAAACTTGAAATAAAAGGAAACAACCTTACCAAAATAAAATAAAAGCTGTATATGAAAAACAAAGGACCATAGTTAATACATGAAAGAGTAAAAGCTTTTCCTTTATAATTAGGAATAAGCTAAAAATGCCCACTTGTGCTATTTCTATTCAACATAGTATTGGGAGTTCTGATCAGAGGAATTAGGTGAGAAAAAAAAGGCATATAAATTGGAAAAAAATTATCTCTATTCATAGATAATATGATCTCCCTTGTAGAACATGTTTAACATTCCATAAAAATATTGGTAGAACTAATAAACAAATCCAGCAATGTAATAGAATAGAAAGTTAACATACAATTATCAGCTATAATTCTATTCTCTAACAATGCACAATATGAGAATAAAATTAAAAAAATTCTATTGATAGTTGCACCAAATAGAACAAAATACTTAGGAATTAACTAAGCCAAGGAAGTGGAAGACTTGTACAATGAAAAGTAGAAAACATTTTCTGAAAGAGATTACAGAAGAAATAAATAAATGAAAAGATATCTCATATTCATGGATCAGTTGACTTCAATGTTGTTAGATATTAATACTACCCAAAATGATTTGTCAATTCAATGAAATCCCTGTCAAAATCCCAAGGATTTTTTTTAAGAGACAGAGACTCACTTTTCACCTTCAGTAGAGTGCTGTGGCATCACAGCTCACAGCAACCTCCAGTTCTTAGGCTTAGATGATTCTCTTGCCTCAGCCTGCCAAGTAGTGGGGACCACAGGCACCTGACACAATGCCCAGCAATTTTTTGTTGCAGTTTGGCTGGGGCCAGGTTCAAACCTGCCATCCTTGGTATAAGGGGCCAGTGCCCTACCCACTGAGCCACAGGTGCCACCTGCAAGGATATTTTTTGCATAAATAGAAAAACCCATCCTAGAAGTCATATGAAATCCCAAGAGATCCCCAAATAGCCAAAACCATCCTTAAAAAGAACAATAAGCTTGA